GCATACAGATTAAAATTGTATTACATTACATAAAAACAGCCGCTGTGAGAACACTGCAAGATGATTTACATACACAGAAAACTAAACACCTTTGCCGCCTCCTGCTGTATCCCTCTTAGCTTGTGGAATGTATTAGTAAAAAAGAAAAAAAAAGCCACATACCCAGGCCATAATCCAAACATTATGGAACATGACATTTAAAAATGTACAGAGCCCGTGCTAAGTATTTTACAGTGTCTGGCCTCAACACATTTGTCAGTGACACTGTTCTTTGGGGGAAGGGAGAGCACAAGTCTCAGCCCCCACATACAGCATTTTCTTTTACAATTTCAATACTAAAAGTCTGCAGAATAGAAAGCCTCTCCTCCACTAGGGTTGGTGGTTGTAGCCGTGTTGGTCTAAGGACACAGGAAGACAAGGTTCTCTGGGTAAATGTGAAAACTAAATAGTTGAAAAAAATTGTTCTTTTCAAGGTTGCTGGTACAAACACCTTCAGGCACAAGGAGTTTGCTGTTGCGTCCATCTAAGGATTTTCCCTCAAAACAAAGCAGAAAGACCTCACCCGCTTAGTATGAGTACATGCATCAAACAAACAGCCTGCAATCCAGTTCTGGTCCCCTTTGTTATAGCTAGGGACCTACATGAATTGTGTGGAGGGCAAGCTAAAAAAACCTGCAGACTGCTCATAGTGACCAGTGACATTTTCACAGTCTTTTCGCAGTGAACCCCCTCACCCCCACTGCTGATTGGCAGAGAGGGCTGCCCTTCACGCAGCCCTGCCCCCCACTGCTGATTGGCAGAGAGAAGCAGGGCTACACAAGGTAGCCCTCAGGCTGGGAGAAGAGAAGAGGGACTGAAACTGGGAAACTGGAGAGGGAGAGAGATTTAGTAAAAAACTGGAAGAGGCAAGAGAGGCAAAAAAGACATGAGTCAAGGGATGAAGTGGAAGAGTATAGATGAGACGGGCAGGAAGGGACACAAGTCAGTTGGGAACATGGCACACAGGTGAGACGGGGGAGACAGACTGACGAAGGACTCGTGCACTTGAATATAACTGGTAAAGAAAACTTGGAGAAGAGGAGTGAGAAACAGAGAGGCCAAACACTTGGTAGAGAAACAGTCTAAACAGTCTGTACTCATAAAATCAGGCGTTGCTCCCAGCCTGAAACAGAACCTCGTAACTTGTCATGCTTGCTAATCTAGTGCTGTCTGCTACAGTGTCATGTCTATTTGATCAGCATCTCATCCCCTCTCCTACCCATCCACAAAAAATGACAGCAATCCGCAGCTGCTGTCAACTACTCTTCAGCTCTGATGACAGAGGTCTGTGAGGGTCAAACATGGCTGATGACCTATGGGGGTGTCAATATGATGCCCCATTGCTTTATAAAAAGCAAATAAGAGAATCACACACCCAAAAACTGTACATCCAAAGAATGTTCAAGTCACAAGGTCAGTCACTCAAATGTTAGGAAACGCCACAGTAATGTCTCAGACTACAACACAGAACTCTGGCCACTTGCAGCTAGGCTGACAAGCGTCAGCCAGACCCCCTAATAAAAGCCACAGCAGATGGCAGGAAATTTATTCTGTGGCATCACAGGTACACCACCTCCCTAGACAACATACTTTAAAATGACGGAAGTGCTCTATTGGGCGTGTCAACATCTCTGCCAGTTTTACCAGCACAGCTATGTCAGCTACAGCTGCTCAGTTTCTGTGCATGTTCTAAACACTTTCGGCTGGCACACCTTCACCAGAAGAACTTTGTAGAGTAAACCCTGCTTCTCAGTGCCTATGCAACTTTAACAACACCCCAGATGTGCACACATCCTAAGTTTAATTATGCATAATCATATGTTATTTGTTTCTGCAAAAACCCTCTGTTCCAGTGCATACGAGTGGTTTTGCAGAGTCCTAATTCACCCTTGGAGTATATCAGAGCTGGGTTTTTTTTCTGCTGGACCTTTGACTCATTTGTTGATGAAGGGGATTACAGGAAAAGAAAAGATGGCTGCATGGGTAAGGCAACTGGATACTGTCTTGCAGAATTAGGTTCTATCCCCATCTCTGCCAGAGAGCTCTTCCACAACATTGGGCAACTCACTAAAATCAGTCTTTCCATAAGCAGCTGCTAACTGTGTATTTGTTGTTTTCAGGGAGCCCAATCTGAGTGAGACCCAAGAGTCTAATCTGCAGAACTGCCGAGCAGTCACAGCTGCAACTGTAGATACTGGATCTGTTTTGACCACATGACATGCTATATTAATAGCACGTACTACGAAGAAAAGTTAGGTCCTAGGCGCCCCGCCTCTAAGTGTGGGAACTTTGACCTTAATTGCTCTGCGATTCAATTTTCCATCTGTAAAATCCACCTTGGCATCTTGACAATAAGCTGGTGAGAGACATCAGCTGGGTCCTCTCTGAACTGTACTGTAGCCCACCCAGAAAGTTACAAGTTCATTCTTCAGAGTAGGGGTTGAAATAGTATGCAATAAGGCATAGGTCTATAAGCTATACAAGAAAAAAAAAAAAAATCAATAGCTGTTTGTTAAGCAAACACTATTCTATACTTGGATAGAGACTGATCTTGCAAAAAATAGCACTGAGTTATGTAAATCAGAGGGCACATCTACACATGCATTTATTCCAGCCTAGATTTACCATGCAGTAAACTACTGCATAGAAGGGGTTTTGGGGTAGGCATCTACACATGCAGTCCCTGCAGCCCTGCAATGGGCCACTTGGGGGAGCTCCAGGCTGTTTGTGGGTGCCAACCCAGACCAAGAGACAACTGCCTGCTACCAGGCAGGTGACCAGGAGACAGATGCCAGGAGACAGGCCTGCCTGCTGCTGGGGCAGGGACAATGTCCCCACAGGAAGCTCCTGGCCCTGACTCCCCAATCAGGAGGGCAGGGGGCTCCCTGGGCACCCCTACAGCTCTTTCCAAGCCCTATGTGTCGATCACCCAAAATCAGGGCACAGGGCTGAGACCTGGCCATGACTGGGATAGTTCCTGGCCAGGCCCCCAGCTGCACAGGGCAGTCTGCATGTGCAGCCCAGAGCTGGCTGGGAACTACCTGAAACAGGACAGTTCCTAGCCACCTCCAGGCTGTACATGCTTCCCCGTACAGCCTGGGAACTGTCCCGCTCCAGGCTAGTCAGGAACTGTCCCCATACAGGGAGGTCCCAGCCCCTGCTCTGCCATCCTAATTGTGATCATAGAGCAGGGGTTGGGGAGCTTGTTCCCAGACCCCGCTTTGCAATCAGGGAGTGGGGGCTGGAAGCTACCTACTGCCAGGGCAAGGCAGGGACTGGGGAGGAGACAGGCTGGGGAGCTTATTCCCCGTCCAGCTCCACACTCTCAGACCTGAGTGGGGAATAAGCATCCCAGCCCCCACCAGCAGGGAGCTCCCAGCACTGGCTCTGCAACCATGGGGCCACTGCTGAGAGATACTTATCTCCCAGCCTGAGCTCCATGCCAACTCCTGCCCCCTGGCAGACAGCTGACTAGGAGCAGATTTTGCTCCCAGTCAGGCATCTACATGAGCACTACTGCACCATTACTAATGCCAAGTAAATCTGTTACTTGCATTTGCAGATAGATAATTTACTCGGTATTAGGGAGGTTTACTGAGAAGTAAACGTGTATGTGTAGATGCACATGTTTACTTCTTAGTAAACTATGCCAATGCAAATTTAGGCATCTCATGTAGATGCGCTCAGAGAAACCAAATCATAATACATATAAAGTGTAGTATAAAGCGGGGCCTTAATTTGGCTGCAGATAACCTTAAATCTAGAATTCCCTAACTGTGCTTGAGCTTATGTTCTTTTAATAAATATTCATGCAGCCATTATGACAATCAGATTGTAAAGTGGCAAAGCTTCCCCCACCCCATAAAAAAGGTCTGCGTAGTGCCAAGACCACTTTCCAAATATAAACCAAACGTATTAGAGACCTACCTAAATTGCAATTTCACAGATTTTGCAGAAACCATGAAATCCAGGATTGCCTGCAAGATCCACAAAAAACCCCAAATTAAAGTAAGTTTAAGTCTTCCCCTCCCAGATGGCCTCCCAGCCCACCAGGAAGGGAAGGCACCAGCTGGTAGGGCAGCACAAAGGGGGAACCAGATATCAAAGCAGCTGACCCTCCACCCTCCTCTCCCCCAGGGCTTCTCTGCCAATCACTGCTGAGGGCTGGGGCCTGTCCGCCAATTAGCACCAAGGGGCGGGGCCACCACAAAACACCAGCAAAATGTCCTCTTTGTCCTGGGACAAAGCCACAAAAATGGCTTTGTTTCACCGCAAGTCAAGTAGGTCCCTAAACATAACCAAGGCTATGATGTCTACGAGTAGGAAGACTGATTGAAACAAGAAGTCAGAGGTGTAAATTTTCCCATCCTCTTAATCCCACCATTGTGTTAACCGCCCAAAAAACTAGTGAGAACATAGCTAACATCAACAGTAACGGTTTTGTTATTGCTGTTTTACTACCACTACCACCACCACTACTACTGTTTTGGAAGATTAAGTGAATGATTCCAAGTATGACAATAAGGTAGGGGAAGAAAGTTACTAGAAGTTTTGTTGCTACATAAAAAGGTCATACCTTTCATCATCTGCAACCCTGCCACTGATGACAGTGGGACAGTCATAAAAGGCAAGTATGCAAACCTCGTATCCGATATGTGAATTATTTGTATTGCAAAACTATAGAATCCAAGTCTGAAAGCTTTCAAAAATTTAACATTCTACACAAGACTATATTTTATACCAGAGACATGGCACAGAATTTAAATAGTATGGAATTTGCTATGTACTACTGTAACCGACTTAAAAAACCATACACATTTCACTGTGAAAGAAACTAGGAACATCAACTGTGCTGTGATACAAAAGCAAGTATCATCTAAAGATATACCCATGATTGACACTACATTATGAAAATCAATGCACTGTCAAAAGATCTTTCGAGTCTCACAGAACCAACTTACCAATGTGAACAGTCATGTAAACTGTCATGTAGGGCTTTCCGTAGCACCGAATCCTTGTCATAAATGCCCCACGTAGCTTGTAGTACTGAATCAAGGAGGCAGTCTCCTGCAGTCCGATTCCAAAGTGCATATAGTCTACTATCCAAGCGTGTACCCAATTCCAGTGACCAGTTTATAATAGGAGATTCTTCCTCTAGCTCTACAATGACAAAAACCCCATTTAAAGTCTTATCTGCAACAGAAATCTTTTCAGTATGCAAATCATCATGACAAGTAAACTTTGTATCAGAAGATACCATAAAATCTCAAATTACTATCCAAGTACAGTGCAAATGTTACAAAAAACAAGGCTTTACTAATAAACTAAGGTTGCTAGGATAAAAATTACAGAAAAAACAGATATTGAAAACTACTTTGTTCCAAGGCACTGACCAGAACAGAAAGATTGTTTAATACTATTTTAAATAAAACTGCAAAATGGCTTGTAACTGAAGGAAGCCTTAGAATCGTTTAGGCTACTATAAAACAAGTTTAACACATTTTAGCCTGTTCTTTTTCTGTATAAAGGCTGCATACAGCTCAGGCTCACAAAAGCTTTATCCTGTCTATATACATCTATACCCTGCCTTCTTGGAGCAATATTAAGTCAATAATCATCTGCAAATACCAAACTATCCAGCATGAAATTCTTCTTTAGACAAAATTCATATTTATACTTAATGCTAATTAATCTCTCATTGGCAAAAAAAAAGTGTGTTTGAGGTTTAGTGATAACAAGTTATTCTCTAAGCATTTACCTTTCTGAACATCCCTGTCAAGTACTTCATCAAATAATTTCTCTTGGACTGTTGGTGGCAAGTCTTCAATATCTGGAAAGGAAAAGCAAACAAAAATCTTTATACTAACATCTAAAAATGGAATGTTGCTCTATGGAGTGTGTGTGTTTATGGACTAACAGATTCTTATCTCTCTCCCCAGCTCTTACTAGTTTCTGTACTAAGGCTTTGTTATTTTTATTTGGTCACACACAGTCAAAAGATCAAGTTACAGGCTAAGCTAAGGGTAGTTTACAAGGCCTGCCATGTACTTGAATGCACAAAGACTATTAGGGACACTTCTAGAGTCAACAGTGACCTTCTCCAGAGGAATCTGTGAAGTGAAGAACCAGAAAAGAAAGTAAGAAATAAACAGGAGTAAGAATAAAGTTTTCCCACCCTCAGTAGTTAGGTGATAAAAATGAGGAGGGGGAAAATAATGCCAACTCCCCTTCATAGCCTTATAGGCAGGTCTTTAGCTTAGCTTAAGGTCACCCACCCACTTCTTTGAAGCACATTCTTTTATTTCCCATTGAGAATAAACACTAATTTGCAGTTTGGATCATACAAAACACACTTCCATTAAAAATAAGAAAATGAAAGTTACAGATAAAAATTAACTGTTTTCATATCTATGTACTCATGGTTACTTAGGCAAAACAAGCAAGGCCAGGTTTCAAAACAAAGAAAGCTAAAATACCCTTGAATCGGTGGATTCCAATTTAGCAGTGTTCAGCTCAAGAATAGCCGCAGGAAATCCACACGCAACGCAGCTAGCCAAAAACACATGCACCAACTGGCACAGCGGACCATCCTGGATGCCCTGGGCATAATTAAACTTGGCAGAAAAGACCACACCACAACTTAACTTGCTGCACTGGCTCCAAAAATAGCATGAGATCCCACAGCTAGGTTTTCTAGCATAATGAAGACATGCAAGTTCCTTATTGTAGCAGAGGCCTTCTCCCATCACTTATGTCACAGTAAGCTGAAGATGTTCAGAGCTGGATGGAAAGCGCACAGCATTAACTATATAGATTTCTACGAGCTGACCTGTGGCTTGTTATGCATGTTGGTGATGAGTCTACCACCTGCACTTAAATACCAGAGGGATCGGCTACTAGTTGTGGGTAGCATCACCTGATCTAACAAGTTTTGTTGGTTTTAATGTTTCTAAAGCAGTTAATGATATGATTAAATCTGTCCATCTACTGGCCTGTATGGACCCTCTTTCAGCTGAGGTGCAGACAACAAGCCCCTAACTACAGTGTTTATGAACTGGCTCCTCAACTGGATTTTATCAGGTTTTTCAGCAAGATTTCTGCCTTGATCTGCTGAGCTATTTAGTGAGGTGGCATTTGTATGCAAATATGAACTCTTTGATCACCTTTAAAACATGCTAGCTTGATTCATATGCCCAGAACTGACCATTTAAAAAAAAGATATTTAGCAGAAGTTGGCTTTGAGCACAATGAGCTGAAATATATAGAGATGATCTTTCATTTACAGTTACAGGCTCCATTTCATGAAGCCATCACCTACAGCAGTGGGTTTTCAACCTTTTTTTTTTTCCATTTGCAGACCCCTCAATTTTCAAATGGAGGTACAGACCCCTTTGAATTGTAAGTGTGGGTATTTACATACTTTTGATTGATCATGGGCATCTTTCGGGGACCCCTCAGACACCCAGGGGTCTGTGGACTATTCTTTCAGCAAATGCAAAGTTCAGGTTCTACTCACTCTTTTGGACGCTGTAGTCCCTGACAGTTAATTACATTATTAAAACTCTCAAACAACTGTTTCATTTTACACACCAGGTGCATCTTAAGAGATTTGCACTTTGATAACAGTACCACGCTCATTTCCAGTAAGCAATGCAAGCTTCTGTTTTGTATTTTGAGGACGTTCTGTTGCCACAGCTCCAAAAATACATGTTTTTGCTTATGGGAAGACAAAAAGGCCTGGAAAGCTCAAATTCAACTTACTTATGCTGGCTAATGCTATACAATAAAATGTGATACATAGAACACTACAGGATGGTTGACCCATAACTGGGAAAGCCATACTACACAAGTTACAAAAACTTCCAATTCAGCGAGGCTCGCAATTCAACAAGGCTAAAATTTCTGTGGTCAAATATGTAATCAAGAGAATTCCTGAAGATTAAAAAGACTAATTTCTACAGACTATCATCAATACTCAATGCCAGACATCTGATGTGCTTATTCTTTACCTCACAATATGTTGAAGATGCATAAAAACTGTTACAGTTACAGCTAAGGAAGCAAGTACATGAATAATTTTGATCCTAAAACCAATTGTTTTATTTACTAACAAAAGCTTTTTTTTTTTAAATGAAGACTAATTAAAAAACCTCACTTTTTCCAAAGTTAAATCTAGTCATCTGAACATAATAATAAGCCAGAAATACCTAAACACTACTCAACATTAAGTACAGGATCTCTCTGATGTACATTTCTGTTTGAATTCCCCTCATCTTTAAACTGAGTATAGGTTTCCCTCAATTTATGCGATACATGCATTCCCGGAGAACAGCGCATAAAATCGACTTTGTTACACTGTAAAGTGGGTTCGCTTTATGCAAATAAGAATACATTCCCATGGTGAGTGAGGCTGGGACTAGGGAAGGGGCAGGGCGGGGTGCCACTCCCGGGGCTGCACAACGCAGCAAAAAAACAGAGGGAACAGAGCAGCTCTCACCCCAGCCCCAGCTGCAGCAGCCCTGGGAGTGGCTGGCACCAGCAGCTTGCAGCCATGGGCTGCACTGTGCTCTGCTTGTCCCCATTCACCTTGCTCCCGGGCCGTGCCGTGCCCCGGTGCAGGCAGCTGGTGTTGGCCACTCCCAGGGCCGCTGCAGCTAGGGCTGGGGCAAGTGCTGCACCCTGTGCTGCCTGGGGCTCTACTTGTCCACACTCACTCCAGCCTGTACTGGAGTGGCCCCAGGAGCAACCAACACCAGCTCTCTCCACCACAGCACAGGAATCGGGGTGAGCCCAAGCATGGGGGGACAGGTGGAGCATGGCGCAGCCCAGCAGCTACAGGCAGCTGGCACTAGCCACTCACAGGGCTGCTGCAGCTGGGGCTGGTATGAATGGGGCCACGGCCCTTTCCCCTCCCACTACAGACTCACCTGCTTGAGCGCGGGGGCATCTATGCTGATCGCGCAAGAGTGAATTTACCTCGCATATAACAAGTTATGGGTCTGAATATGATGATCACATAAGAGCAAATTCATATATAAAGAACCTGCATAAATCGAGGGAAACCTGTATAGCTTTCTGCTTCACTGGGGTAATGCATGGATTGAAACTTGTAAACAGCTTTGGAGATTAAGCAGCACTAAGTAAGCATTAAGAATTACCAGGTACCAAAACCTAACAAAAGTTGGGAACAAGCTGTTAACAATCCTTAACCTAATGAAGATGCAAAAGGAATATTTACAAACATAACATCATTTCATGATTACCTGCAGGCAGCGTAAACGTTACTAGGTCAGTGAGAAAATAGCAAGCAAAATCTCCCTTCCGCTGATGAAGAGATGCAGCAATTTCACGCCGGATTTGTTCTGTCAGCTCTGGACACACCATTGCTGGAATGCACTTTGCCGCATGCTGCGATACCTGTAACACAACAGTCTTATTTCACTTGATGCTATTCTCAGCTGAATATAAATACTGAGATCCGTTTATAACTTTTCATAAATATTTTTGAGGAAGGACTAAAGAGAGGGATACAGTAGCCCTAATTATAATGAAGGAAGTTGAACTGAATGCAACTCACAGGAAACAAATTCCTTCAGACGAGATGCAAGCAAACAAACCTAGATACCATTTAATCATTGTGACATTAACAGGCCTTAGACCAACAGCCACAGTAACTCAACCCTGAATGTAACAACATCGGAGACTGAACAGATGGCTGAACACATTATTAAGAAAGAAACAGGTAACAGAAAATAACAAAATGGAGGGCCATAATATTTTGATCCAAACTAGGATCTGGCGGACTACCTGGTGACCCTTAGGTTATGGAAAGGCACTGGTTAAAAACCAAAGGTTTCAAGTATAATGTGTTTTTCGTTTCTATGACAAAATTCTATACCCTGCATGGACTAGATTTGTCCAAGGAAGCTTCCAACTTTTTTTTTTTTTTAAACCTCCCACACATTAAATTACCCAAGGAATGGGAAAATAACTCTACTTACAAGTTTCACACAACATTCAGAAAGAGTCTCATCATTTTTGACAAACCAGTCATTCAATGATAAAGTAGCTGATGCAGTTTGATCTCTAATACAGTATTTGGAAGGCAAACATTTTAACTAGTTACTACGCTGATAAAGCTAAATAGCTGGCCCCTAAGCAAACTTTTCTCCGTTTCACAAAGCTGACAAATCAAAAATCACAGAATGCATCACCAAAGCTGGTACTTGCTGGAATCCAAGACAGTTTTTTCCCCTCCATTCAACATGGGAGGGAAAGGGAGGAAAAAAGCAGCCCCTCATCCTGTATTTGAACACAAGGTGTAGAGGCAGACAGGTGCTGCAGCTCTGACTTAGGCCTCAACCTGGGCTCAGGGTCGGGGCCACAGCTGACTTGCCCTCAGCTGGCGCTCTGGCCTACAACACAGAGTACATGCCAGCTCTATCCCCCTGCCTAACCTGGCAGCAATGGTAGTAGCTCCAGACCCAGCTGTGGCTCCCAACTCAACCCAGTCTCAGAGATAAGATTATATACATGGAAAATTATAACATCTCTTTTGCTATTTTGTTGCTTTGTTCCTGATGCCCCCCCTCCCATGCTTCACACTGCAGATAAATGTTTATGTGCATCTCATCTTCCTTCGCACACACTAGCTTCTTTGGGAAAGCTACCCCCATTCCCACTGCAATAAGAGTGCAAGGAACAAATACTGCAGGGGAAGGGAAAGTGTACCTCAAGGATTTTGGGAAGCCAACAGTTTCAGAAAAGAAGAAAGTACAAAGAATAACCATGATAGAAATGTTGCCTGCAAGAAAGGCAAATGGCCAAGTGGAATAGAAGGAATGGACAAAATGGATGCAAAGGGCATTTTCCAGGATGGGAAGACATTACCAAAAATAAGGACCCAGCAAGTGAGGTTTACAGGAAATAACAAATTGCAAGGGCAAGAGAAGGACAGAAGTGTGCAATAAGTAGTAGAGTTTGATCTCATGAAGGAGAAAGACTAGAGGAAAATTGGAGGAAACGGGGAAAACAAGGTGGAAACAGAGGTCTTTCAACCAGAAGCAAAACAAAACAAAAATACAAACTGCAGGAAAGGAAAGCAAATCACATTTCACTGCTAGGTAGATTTAAGAAACAAAGCTAAAGCAGTTTATCTTTCTAAATGTTTTGCCTTAGGGGTATTTCCTCTTCCCCACCCTACAGCACAGGAAACAGCATAATAGCTTACTTTCATTGCCAATAGGGTTAAAAGGAACAACTGCTTACATGGGAAGAATACAGAAAAATTGGTCAGATTTTCCCGCACGAAAAGGACCGTTACTAAAACAAACAGAAGAAAGCAACAATGCATGAATTGGCCCAATAACATTTGTCAGTTTTCATCTGCAAAGAAATTAAACTAAACTCCAGTGGTTTTAAACTCCATCATGGCAGGGTTACATAAAAAGCCTCTATTTAATCTAAACAAGGGTCAAAAGTAACTCACCTCAGTAAGCAAAATTGCTAGCATATCTTGCCTCTGAAAGCGTATAGCCAGATGTACAAGTGTGTAGCCCACATCAAAAGCAGAAGGGCGATTAAGCAAGCGTACTTCATCTGCAGTAAGCTGGCGTGCAATATCTCCTCCTGACGACTTGTATGCTTCGACAGCGGCTAGATCACCTTCTACAACTCCTGAGGAGATGAAAAGCACATTAAACTTCATTTCAGATGATGCAAAATGTAATCTTGGCTCAAGCTACCTTATGCCACAAAGCTTTCCTATATCCCTCGGGAAAAGAAATTGTTCACTGTACTCCACAAATAAACATCGTTGTTACTCCAGTCTTCTATGGTCCTGCACTTACCTTGCCCCCAGACCAGTTCCATGTTCCAGAAGCATTCGTGATTAGCGGGGCCAGCCACAGGACCTGAACCAGGTCAAAATAATACTCTCTTCCAGGTGCACTTTTGAACCATTCTAAGCAGGTTTAAACTGGTTTACCAGGCTCATATGCATCTTCAACTTGAACTGCATTTAAACAGGTCAAAATATTGTATGTCCACACCCTAACAGTGGTTTTCAAACTTCCTAAAGTGACCAAACCCTTCCATATCACTTCTGCTACAGAACCCCTAGCCCATGAGCTGATGCAAAGCCAGGCAACCCTGGCCAGCAACTGTGGAATACTGCATCCTGGCCTCATCCACCTCTCTCCCCAGTCTTTGTGGAAACCCTGATGACCCATCATGGGTTCCACGGAGCACAGTTTGAAAACTACTGCCCTAAAACATTTCAGTAAAATACAAGTTATTCCATGCTGCTCTAAAAAGCAAATGTTCTACAAAGGAGTTGTAAAGACAAATACTTCAAAACCCACATTAAGGCCATTAAGAGCAAACCGACCTAATTCTTAAACTGCAACCACCAAAGGTAGTACCATGCAATGATTGTGCTGCTTTCTTCAAGTCTACCATGCTCTGAATAAAATAAAAAAAACTGACCTTACAAATTTAAAAAAAAAAAACCTGGAAATAAAAGGAGGTGCATTTGTAAATATAATCCTGACATCAGAATATGCTCTGCATGAGGATGAAAAATGTGTTTTTTCCAGATCATGTCATTTTCAATAGAGAAGCTGTTGTGATGCTTCGTGTCTATGAACAACATGGAAGTGAAATCCGATTTACAGAGAAATAAACAGAAGGACAAAAATAATGTACCAGGGCTAAGTAGAAAATTATTTTCCCAATCCACAAACATTCCTCCTCAAGATGTTCTTACTCAATACTGGAAAAAGCCTGAGACCTCTTTCTCCAATTCAGGGAGAGACTTGGCCAGCCCAGAATAATCAGCAGCCCAGTAACCCTTGTGCAGGGAACTAAAAGAAACCTCTTTTGCCCAACAAAAATATTTACCCAAGACAAATTACTGAAACCATAAAATCAAAAGGGTCCTCAAGCTCACTGAGGAAAAACTTTATTTTAGCTTCCAGAGACCCCGAGTTAGCATTCCACATCTCACAAGAACCACTGTGTTTCATCAAGAATCCATATTTCTGAAAAAAATCAGAGGCATGAAGGAAGAGAAAATAAGAACTTTTTGGTCAGGTTTTCAAAATAAGTTCAGCACAACAAGCACTAAGGAAAAGGAAAGTGGTGTGATCTTTGATGGACCAAGATCTACACTTTCAGCCTGAAGATGGAGCTGGAAAAGCTCTAAACAAAAAACCCCCACCAAAACAGAACAAAAACACACTGCTTTGCTAGCATAACACCAACAACTACACCCCTAGTAAATTACTGATCAGTGCTATTTACCAGGAGCGCTCTTTTAAACTTTAGTAGCCACTTCACATCCTATAATTTTCAACCATGTCTACTGAGCAAGAAAACGTGAGATTTACTTTGTCGCACAACTGACTAAGAAAGACACCTGAAAAGATTCTGGATATGGATCTTGACACTCAGCAAGCAATCAAAGTTTGTTATAACTGATGTTTTTCAAGAACCACACACATCAAATTCATCTTCAAAACTAATTCTGCCTCTGAAAGTACAAAAAAAGGCACTGGAAAAGTCGCATTCAGCAGCCAGCCACCTTTCAGAACACAAGCTGCACACTGTGGTTTTAAATCTGCGTAGACCACTTTTATATTCATCACTGCATTTCTACTCCTCCATTCTCAGCTGTTGCTGAAGTAACTTGTCCCTTGTCCCAATTACCACTCAGCCATCAGCAAGATCCAGGACTGACACAGAGGCAGTCCTGTGAGGCTCAAGAAAGCCCTCAGGCATTAGCTATTACAGCTGCTCTGGTGAGCTAATTCAGGGTTGTATTCAGTACACAATACTGCCAACTCTTGCAGTATACACGCAAAACTGCAGCACACTATTGCAATATTTGGCATTTCCAAGATTCCTGGCTCCTTATGTTAACTGATGAAAGTCATGTTTAAGATTTCATTTTTAAGTACCTTTCTAGCCCTCATGGGTGTGGAAAAGAGCTTAACACCGTGATCCAAACCTAGCGTAAAAGCTAGAATACATATAATAATATATTCATATACAATAAGAAGGCAGCTTTACAGCGATACCATTGCCAAGCTTATATTCTGTGACCGTTTCACTTTTGAAAACTGCAAATTAATTGCTTTTGTTGTATGTAGAAGAGTTGCCTTCCAATTTCACCTTCTTCCTAGCTCCTGTTAACCAGGACTAGGAAACAGGGAAGTTCTGGCAAACTCTTTCAATGCTTCTGAAGTGCTACTTGCTGTAACACCAATCCAGAAGCATGTGCCTGGAAACAAAGTGCTCCCTAGATCTTCACTCCACCCAAGCCAGAAGATAGGGAGTTTGTCAAGACAGTGACATTTCTCATGAGACAGGTGTATTATTCTCTATGCCAAATGCCAAACTCCATGCAACCCCTCAACAACACGGCTCCAACAGTTTTCTAGATGCTGTATTTCAGATTCTACTGAGCACAACTGAAATCAGGTTTTAAAGTTTGTTAAATGAACTGGAAGCTGGCATTTGCAAGTCTATTCAAAAGAAAGATTACAAAAGTTGGGTTTATTAGTGTTTTAATATACTGCATTCCATAAATGAAAAATGTCTGACAACTTAAACAGCTATCTTAGAGGCAAATTTTGATAAAATGGCACACTAGTTAGATTCTGGTCACCATTGCCACCCACTGCATTCTTTGCGCAGTTAAATGTCACAAGTAATAAGATTCATATTCGCTTTTGCAACATGCTCTCTACACATACCAAGGTCTCTTTTTCTTAATCCAACTATTCTGCAGATGAACACGAGCGGAAGGGGGGGGGGGGGGGGGGGGGGAAAAAAAAAAAAAAAATCAAATTATAGTCTGCAGAACCATGGTCAAGGACAACGGCTTTTGGTGCCATCTCTGGGGTTTTTCTAGACTCTTCAGACCCTTTGGTTTGTCCATTTTTCCCAAACTGCAGCCATCTGAACACTGCTATCTTCTGCTGCTTCTGCCTACATGACATTTACCAAGCACTTGCACAAAGCACCTAACAAGGAGTCTCTCTTTGAGGACAGCCTAAAACCACTGAGTCACAGTGTCCTGTTTTACAAGTTACACTGTCAGAAGTTTCTGCTCCTACAACATCTAAAGAGCCAGCTAATAATATAAAAATGCTCTTCCAAAAAACATTTGGGCCCTTCCTGGTGAGAGGAGAAATCTCCACTACCCTCTGTGGTAAAGATGAATGTCCTGATTTGCTCCAAGTCCCTGGACTAAGGACTCTTGCCAGTTTCCTATTTCTGGCAGTCTTTAAAATTCCCTGAAGTCTAGCTATTTTCTCTTCAATGGGCATGTCTACATATTCATTAATGCACCCTAGATGCTGTGCATTTAGTTCAGTACTTCCTTAATAAAGTACTAACTAAATGTGCAGGACCTAAAGTTACTGCACAGCAGCACCAGGGCCCAGTTATTTAGTGATGCTTACTGCACATTATCCTAATAGCACTGCATACTAGACTATTAGCATGGTTTTTGCCATGACATACTTCTGCATGGTGTTATTAGGCTAATGCGCAGTAAACATCTCATGTAGACGCACCCAATGAGTCACAAAGAACAGATGCAGGAAAATATTTCAAATCACCAAAAAACCAATGGCTATAGCTTGAAAACTTGTCCAGCTGTCATTTTTCCTTTTCCTAACCCTTTCAAATCATCCTCACTTTTATTTCTAAACTTGCCTCGCTCTGTCTACTTTTTTTGTTCTATTTTTTTATTTTAAAAAGCTGTTACGCCCTTTATGACTTGTATATCACCAACATGTCTGCAGGGCTCAGAACTAACAAATCCTTCAGACTATCTGTCTTCATGTCTGGCCCATGAGGAAAGTAGGTAGTATAAAAAAATCCCATGATGCATCTGAATTCAAAAGCGTCACCTATGCACAGCGAGATGGAAGCCTTGTCATTTTACCCAGAAGGAACAAACAAACAAACGAGGAGATTTGCAAAAGAAGGAATGATTGAGGGAACAAAAGATGCTGATAGTGAAGTATGAGCACTCAGTTTTCAGGGAAAGGTTACATTATAAAGTGGGAGAACACAGTATCATACTTTTTTCAGCAAGCAGACAGAGAAAAGGTTCAGAAGATGTGCTGCTCAGACTTCTTCCAAACATCAGCTAATCACCATGTGATCACTTTTAGAAGATATAAATATCTGCTAGTCAATCCTGCCTTTACATTCTAATCTGGATACAATGACCTGTCAACTTCCTCATATAAAAAAGGAAGCACCATCCTAGAACATTGTTCCAACACTATGGTAATGTATTGTCAGTAAAATCAAATGCTAGAGGTGTTTCAGGTCATGCCACTTCAGCATTTTCTGGTTTGACACCAAAACACAAAGAACCAGCCCCAGCAACAGAGTCAGATTTCCAGAGCTGGATGTACGTAGCTGCAAATATACAGTATCCTGATATCCTGTATGAAGACAAAAACTATAAGATCCCCAACTGGACACTTGGGACATTTATAAACCTGCCCTGGGAGTCAAACAAGCTTTAGTTAAAGAGCCCCCACCGCTATTTTTCAGAGCAAGGATGTTGATACAAGTGATGCTGGAGTCTGCTGAGCACAGTAATTACCACGCTCCTGCAGACTTGATTAATCAACTGTTTACAACACTGATTC